TAATGGGCCAAAAACCCATTTCGAGCTGGGCTGATATGATCACCCATCTATGGGGCGAATCTGAGATTAATGTTCGTCAAAGGATTGGGCCTTTAACCTTATCCACTCCAGGAGACCAAATTCAAATTAGATTTGAATTTGGTAACCTCCTGATAAGATCAAGAGTAAACTAACTTAATCTGCAGAAAGGATTAAGATAATCCCCTATCCAAATACAGATTTGGATTGGGATAACTCCTAATTAGAATGTTTCTTAATCAAGAAGAAAGGAGGAGAAAAGATAGAAACACATCAGAATTCGAACCAGGGTTTGTGAAAAAGAAAACCCCCTGCGAATTGAGATTAGATCTCATGCATACTCTAGAGAGAAGAGAAGCAGTTCAGCCATCTTCGACCCTAGAGTTCTCCTCCTGTCGCCACCATTCCCTCTTGCAAGATTCGATCTTTGCAGCAATAGGAAGTCAAGAAATCAGTTCTTGACATCAGTCTTGCAGGAAAGACTGAAGAAGATTCGGTGTTCAGAGTTTCTAGAGGATTCTTGCGAAGGATCCAGTGTGTAGGATGCACCCTGCTGGTTCCGTTCCATCCACAGCTGTGTCATCTTCAGCAGGAGCGGATCTTGGTTTCTTCTTGGGCGTGAACACCAACTTTGGGAGATACTGCTTCTCCGGATCAGGTATATTCCCCCCTTTTACCTTTTGGTTCAGAACTGGTTCGATTATGGTTCAAGTAAGATCCTTGAATATGGTATTCTAAATTTAGGGATACAATTTCCAATTTGAGGAAGGTAGAAAAATTTTTGAAATTCACCCACCCATTCCGCAACCTTTTTGGCGTCCATTAGATGGATCCTACCATTCCTTCAAACTACTTTCCTAGCAATACTATGTATGAGCCATGTTGGTTTCTGTATCCAGTTTCTTGAAGTGCATTTTTGTTTTGAGAAGTTATAATAAGCCCTTTAGTTTCAAAAGACAATTCATGTTTCTGAAACTATCCAAATAATGGTTCTCGAAACAGAAACCAATTTTAGAATGTTGACATTATGTGATTTACAAAACCTGACATTAAATCACTAGATGAATACAAAACATGTTATTTTTAACCAAAAATTCAAGAACACTTTTCTTTTTAGTTGGGTTGTGTTAGATGGATGCAGATGGGTCATCTTATTAAAATGGGTTGATGGGATGTAGCCCACACCCAGCCCATTCACATCCATTCCGTTCCCACGTCTGCAAGAGACAAAAGCTATGGTTTAAAGAGGGCTAGCTAGCTGTATGGATGAATTGATGGTTTCGACGGATGGGCTGCAACAAGTCAGCCCTAATAAGTTTGGCAAATAGTTATCCAGCAAGTTTTGTCATATATGTGTTGATCTTGTGATGAGAGGCCAAGTCGTCAAGTAGGGTTGTTCACGGGTTGGGTTGGGTCGGTTTATTGAGATTTTTCCAATTGATCTGACTTGGCCGGGTTATATAAAATTGAAACTGAAACCCACCTTATGTTAAGCAAAACCGATCTGGTCGGTTTGAGTCGGGTTGGGTCGGTTTGGGTCGGTTTCAACTCTAAGTTTAACCGTCATTGAGAGTCAAATTGTATTAGAGGTTGTGCTTGAGTTGAGGGACTAGGGGAGCGGACCAAGTTAGAATAGAAGTTATCAAGAAAATAGAAAGTCAAACTGTATTAGAGAAAGAAGACTGAAATTTAGAATAGAAGTTATCAAGAAAATAGAAAGTCAAACTGTATTAGAGAAAGAAGACTGAAATTTGTATATTTCAAGAAACCTTCTAATCTAAGTAAAAAATGACACCTAATTATAATTGTAATTGGTTGCCTATTTGGTGTAAAAGACCATAGAAATTAGGATCATTTGATTCTTTTCTTTAAACTTTTCCAAAAAAATTCCTTGTCTAGTTGTCTTACAATACTTGCCATTAATGTCATTCCTAACTAGAAGACTATAAATTAAGTTAGTTTGTAACTATGATAGAGACAACTTAGTTAAGTAGGAACTAAGTAGGTTGTAACTACTAACTAGGAACTAACTATTAACTACTAAGTCGGTTTGGTTCGGATCGGTTTCTGTTTTCACACATGAAAACCGAAACTGACCCGAACCATCGGTTTATAATTTTTTACAACCCAAAACCGACCGGTATTGAAGAAAACCCAACCAAATCAGGTTGGGTCGGTCCAAGTTGATCGGTTTGGTCGGGTTGGGTCTTCTTATGAACATCCCTACCGCCGGGTATTGACATTATGTAGCAGAGTAGTAGAACGAACATGAGTTCTTTGAGATAATTGTGTGAAGTAGGAACTCTAAAAAGTATAAAAACCTTTGCAAGGGATCTCGCTAGTTATTTTCAAAAACTTTCTTTTGCCAATTATTGAGCTGCGTCCATATCAGAATTAAATGAAAGACACCAGTGATGTGGGGCCGACTAGACCATGAAGCTTTTGCAATGTGCACCATTATTAGGCTGTTTGGTCATCATAGAATTTTTCTTTATATGTATGTGCAAGAGAATTTTGTTTTATCAATGTGCATAGTTCAATCTATGTTTGGTACATAGATATCAATGACATTCCACATGGGGGGAGTCGGGGGGTGGAATTCTTTTTTTTTGGATTTTAAGCGAGGAAAGTTGGTCAATGGAATTTTGGTTTATATTGACAAATTATACCATACATATTTTTTTTTCAGATTTATGTGGAGAGGAGAGAAAGTTTATTTTCATATGTATTGCTTATCCGCCCATCTCCTAGGTGGGTAAATAAAATTTTCACCTAAGGGAAAAGTTGTCAATACTTGAATGGAACAAAAAATGCACTTTTTAATAATGATTTTTTTTGGCTAAAATGCTCATTGTCTTATTTACATGAGAAATAAAAGAGCATGGGTAAATACACTTACCTGAGTAAATGTTTCGTAGGAAAAACATACCCAAGTAGTTGCATTTACCAGGGTAAATATTTACCGAAAAGCGAACGGGGCCTCAAGGATTTTAAAACCGGACCAGACAGGGAACTATTCTGGGTTCCTAGATTGAATGGTCCGATCATCCGGTGCGAATGGATGCCCATTCTGACAAAAGATAAAACTTTTAAAAATTTAAAAAAACAAAAAAATGACCAAAAGCCGTTCCCATATCGAATGGTTCAATAGTTTGACCACCCGAATTAACAGTTCACTGATCAAACCAACAGTTTTTGGCGGAATAAAACAGAACTGGTCAGATGAATCCGATCCTCAGTTTTTCCGATCCGACAGCTTGATCGGTCGGTTTTGAAAACATTGGAGGATTTGATAACGCAGCCGATGTGTGGCTTAGACTAAATGACATATTGCTGCTATGAAATGGCCCATTGTTAGGAAGAAGAGCAATGGCGTAGGATCAAGATTACCATGTCCATGTCATGGCATAATTACAATTAGAGAGATGGGGACACTATAATTTATACTTATATGGTTCTGTGATATATATATCACAAAGCTTTGGCCTCCACAGTGTTTTATCCTTGATAGACGCGCGCAAAAGAAACTTTGGTGCTTGGAGAGGCTCTGGCTTAGTTGGATTATGCTGGTTGGGAGAGGAATATCATATTCATATGCAGCCTTGGATGATACTGAGAGACTGTTGGCAAGGATAAGTCATTAGTGCGTCACACTGTCGTCCAATAGAATCTTCCGCCAACAATGACGCGTTGCATTGTACTAGATGTACCCATCCGACGTCTCTGATTTCTCTTTAGCAAATTGACTTTGTATGCACAACGCGACAACACAATAATCCAACATGGGTCAGCATTTTGACCGTGGGCTTCTCTACATATTGTTTATGTTAGATTACATGCGTTCATATGTATATACCTCATTCTGGACCTATACAGACCTAGATAACCGCTCCTTGATTTTTTTTTTAATTTTTATTTATTAACGACGTATTCCTCAGTCCTCGCTCGTCCATGGATGATGGACCCCATCGTCCAGATCTAATTGGGTGAAAATCAATTTCAATATAAAGCTTAACAACCGCTTGTTGCTGCTTAATCAGTGTTTGGTGATATGAATGATATATAATAATGCTAACGTTAAATAAGTTTTAAAGTAATGCATGCAAATTCTACTTTCGGTAAGCCTTATTAGATTCAACTAATTGGGTCTTGATATTCTAATAAGACATGAAGATTCCGGATGGACGAGGGAGCACAACTACGTACCCACCATATTCACCCAGAAAAACCTATGTTTATCTTTAGACTTACAGCATGCATCAATCATGTTTCAAGCTTTTGACTTTTTTATTAATGGAAAAACCAGAAACAGCCTATTAAGATAATTAAGGAAATTAATTTGAAATGTATGAATTTTTCGTCATTATAAATACATCGACAAACACAAGAAATGAGAAAAATAAATGGGACAATGGAGGAGACCCTCTGGTTTCCCATCTTGTGCTGTCTTTTGATGATCTCATTCTTCTCACACAACTCCTTTGCCACTGGCACCTTGACTCCAGCACAATCTATCAGTGACGGCGAACGCCAAACCTTGGTTTCATCTGATGAAAGCTTCGAATTAGGTTTCTTCAGTCCCGGCAATTCCAAGAATCGCTACTTGGGCATCTGGTACAGGAATATCCCAGAGACAATCGTGTGGGTCGCAAACAGAAACAACCCAATTCTGGATGCAACAGGAGTTTTAAAGATCACCGAAGACGGAAATCTCGTCCTACTCAACAAAACTTCAAGCGTTTTTTGGTCTTCTATTTCATCATCATCGACGACAGCAGCAGCAGCAGCCAAGAGCCCAGTTGCACAGCTTCTAGATTCCGGAAACTTTGTTCTCAGAGACGAGAGCAATGGTAACTCAGAAATGTATGTGTGGCAGAGCTTCGATTTCCCATCAGACACGCTTTTACCAGGAATGAAACTGGGTTTGAATTTTAAGACAAATTTGAGTCGCTATATGACTTCGTGGAAGAAGGCAGATGACCCCGCACTCGGGGACTTCTCTTACAGCATCGATATTTCCGTGTTACCTCAACTAGTTATCTGGGAGGGATCAATCGAGAAATACCGAAGCGGGCCATGGAATGGAGTTCGATTTAGCGGTGTTCCCGTCAACACCAATGCAGTGTTCAGACCCATTTTCATCTCCGACACCGATGAAGTATATTATATGTATGAACGAAACGACGACTCCACTGTCATGAGGTTTACTCTGAACCCATCAGGCTCTCTCCAACGCCTTGTATGGAATAAACAGAGACTGGCGTGGGATCTTTTGTATGAGGTTCCGCAGGAGCCATGTGATCGATATGACCAGTGTGGTGCTAACGGCCTTTGTAAGCTTAACTATTGGCCCATCTGCGACTGTTTGAAGGGGTTCACCCCCAAATTACCAGGAGACTGGAATCTACTGAATTGGTCCGCTGGGTGTGTAAGGAGAACACCACTGGATTGCAGAAAGGGAGAGGGGTTTGCGAAGATTAGTGGGGTAAAACTTCCCGACTTGTTGCAATCTTGGGTGAACGAAACCATGAACCTCAAGGAGTGCGAGGTACATTGTTTGAACAGCTGTTCTTGTGTGGCTTATGCCAGACGATACGTAAGCGAAGGTGGGTGTGGCTGCATCCTCTGGTTTGGAGACTTGACCGACATTAGAGAGTTTAACGAAGAAAACGGTGAGCAAGATCTTTACGTGAGGATGGCATCTTCAGAAATGGGTAAGAAATTAAAAATGCTTTATACTTATCTCGCTTTTATTACCTAGTGTCTACTATAGTACTACTGTGCCAGTGTGTCTTCGTCCCCATTCCTTACTCTCTCGCCTTAGATCTCCGGCCCGTTTCTGGCCGCGGCCTAACGTTATTCTGATTCCTCCACCTAAATCTTACTCTAGGTTCAATGTCATGTGAGGTGGTGCTATAGAACTGAAAATCCATCTTTCTTAATTTAACCGTCAAAATTTAATATTGAGAATGAAAGGAGGCAGCAAAGAATACAGAAGTAGTTCGAAGCTGATGAACCGCAGAAGTGCTGATTTACCAACCCAATGGCAACTGGTTAACAACCAATAATCTATGACGCAACCAATGACATTATTTTGGAGAGTCAGTAGTTCAGTTCAGAAAATTATTACCAGTTCCTGATTTTCAACTACGTAAATGGTTAGAACGCGCTAGCTTAGCGTTGACATCACCAACCACGCCGGAGCAACGTATTGGCTCTGGGTCCGGGAGTGCATTATCTCTCTAACTTCGATTTGGATGTGTATTTAACTTGCCGAATTTCTTGACTTGGTGGACGTTCGAATGAGTGGGAGTTTCTATTCTCACTTTTAAAGAGTACTGGAAGCTAGGTCAACAGGATGCAGGCGAGGGATGACTGATGAGGTTGGTAATTTCATATTGGGAGAGGGTTCCCACATCCCACCTTCAATTTGCCGAATGCCGATATTGTTATATATATATTTGGTCAAACTTCTCAGATAAGAAGGCGATGAGCTGTAGAATTTTATGGTACTTAAGCTGATTAAGTTGGTTGATTATGAAAACAAAGTTTTAAAAGAGGATGAAATGGTCAATCCAGGATCCAGCTAGTAGTCAGTCGACTCAGTCCAGGCCGATTAAACATATATGGCTTATCCAAGTCCACCAAGTATTTGTTGGTTTTCTTCATCATACGCGTTAAAAGTTAATAGAGACTTCTGTAGTTTCTGGTCATGGGCTTAAAAAGCTGTGGTTATCTATTTGGGTCATGCTAGCATCTTTGAATTACGTAGGCTTGGGGCCAACGGCCAACCTGAGCCTGAGGTAAAAAACTATTGGCCAGCCCAAGCTCAAATCGGCCTCCGCAAAATGACTTTGACAGGGCTCTTGGCTTCTCGTCCATATTTAGAAATACAAGTAAAGATGCGTACACACATATATACATAAAATCCTGGGTATTAGGTATATTACATATAACTCAGGGTATATTCTAGTGTTGTATCAGAAGGTCAGTTAATTATACACATTAATATGAATCCAATTCCAAATCTCAAGTTGGGTCTGGTCGGGCTTAGATAAACTACTGTTGCCAAAATGAACTTGTCTTTGCACCCAGTATAATCCTAAGTAGAAGAGGCCTTGTTAAATTACCCACCCAACCCAATAGGAATAAATGATAAATCCCTTTTCTTTTTTATCAATTACCATTTTTGTCTATGGTATACAGTGTAAGGATATCCGGGTTGTCACAATGTTGCTTCTGATGTACTGATTGAAATTGTGTTTGCACCTCAAAAAAAGAAAAAAGAAAATCAAATCTACTAGCAACAATTAAATAATGGATCGTCTAATTACAAACATCAGTTAAATCTCCACCATATATCCTAAATCTTTCTTTCTTGTTCTTCTTTTTCTTCTTATTGGGGATTGGGATGTCAGAAGCCAAATGGTCCATAACCTCATTATTTTAAATTTTGGTCCATAACCCCAACAAAGGATCAATGTACTTTTTAAATTTTGGTCCAAACGGTACTAAATGAAAGAGTAAAAATGGGCTTGAAGACAAATTTTCAATTGGTAAAAGTGAGAGTCATAGTCGAACCATTATTAGAAACATGCTTCATGCCACATGAAATCGTCTCACTTATCATTTTAACTCACGAAGCCCCCATTTTGATGGGACTATCCCAATTTCTTTTAGTGAGTTAATTAAGAGGCCGCATTAGACTTTAGACTTAGGGGTACTGCCACTATTCAAACTAAATTTATGATTTGGTGGATTACCATAACCTCTCTTCATCTGTTGCTAGCCTTCGGTTTGAAAGGAGTACAAATACAAATACAAATTTGTAGAGTGTAAAACCTTGTATTTTGTATTATATTGTATGTATATGTACTCTTCCCAAACTCAGCTTGGAAGGGGTGCAAATATAAATATGCAGAGTGCAAATTGTTGTATTATTTTGTATGCATTTGCTCTCTACATATTTGATATTTTGAAATGCAGAGAAACTAAGTAGATTGCTTAAAGTTACAAATATACTTGTTAGCATTACAGTTCAAGGACTCTTGAGTGTCACTAATTATTATTTGATGACCTTCAGGAGGGGAGGGCAAAATGTCTGACAAGAATAAACGAGTAGTAGTGATAGTTAGCCTTGTAGCTTTCTTAGGTACTTCTGTATTGGCACTGAGTCTCTATCTCCTATGGAAAAGCAAGAAAATTACATCACTATGGAAGAGGAATACAGTGCACCCTGTACTGAGAAGGAAGACCGAAGACAGAGGTACCAAGAAATTCTATTCTCTTTAGAAACAAATAAGCATGAAGATGAACTTTCTCAACTTCATTGTCATCTAACATTTCTCTTGTTATCCTACCTAACAACAGGCATTAATAGGGAGAAAAGCAAGGATTTGCAAATGCTATTTGATATGGTTATACCAAGTGCAAGAGATCACCTAGATGAAAATTTTAACGATGACACAGAGTTGCTTCTATTTGATTTTGATACAATAGCAAATGCTACCGACAATTTCTCGAATACAAAGATGCTTGGGAAAGGTGGTTTTGGTTGCGTTTATAAGGTTAGTTCACAAACATTAGTTTGCTTCTTGCTAATGTTAGTAGAATAAATAGTGTATAAATAACAATACACAGAACTAAAGATAATTAATTAATGGAGATGAAAACCACAACTGTCAGGGTGACTTGGTCGATGGACAAGAAATAGCAGTAAAGAGACTTGGAAAGAATTCAGAGCAAGGAGCAGAGGAATTCAAAAATGAAGTTAGGTTAATTGCAAAGCTTCAACACAGGAATCTTGTCAGGCTTCTGGGTTGTTGCATCAGTAGAGAAGAAAAGATGTTGATCTACGAATATATGCGAAACAAGAGTTTGAACTCCATCATTTTTGGTAAGTGCACCCCCCCAACAGTTGGTTTATTAGGCTGAGCTAGTTCATTTTACTCATACTTTGAATTTTGCTTTATATGACTTTCATATTGAAAATTTCATTGCAGACAAGACAAAAAGCACTATATTGGATTGGCAAAAGCGATTCGACATTATCGGAGGAATTGCTCGGGGACTTCTTTATCTCCACCAAGATTCGAGATTTAGAATTGTTCATAGGGATCTCAAAGCAAGCAACGTTCTACTAGATGGGGAGATGAACCCCAAAATTTCTGACTTCGGAATGGCTAGGATTTTCGGAGAAGATCAAACTGAAGCAAACACAAGAAGAATAGTCGGGACATAGTAAGTAATGAATACAGACATAAATACGTATGGAGCTTGATATGATATCTAGGTCAGCACCTTAGGTTTTTCTTCTTTGATGCTGGCATGCAGCGGTTATATGTCTCCTGAATACGCAATGGACGGACTGTTCTCAGTAAAATCTGATGTATTTAGCTTCGGGGTTCTAGTGTTGGAGATAATAAGTGGCAACAAGAACACAGGATTTTACACTCATAGCCAACACAACCTGCTGGGACATGTAAGTGCCAAGAGAGAGAAGCTAATCGTTCTTCTTCATCTTAAATTTCGCGTCTACTTGTTGGTCATGTTCTTTAGATAAACCGAAAGTCATATTCTTTTTTAAGGCATGGAGACTGTGGAGAGAGGGAAAGGCCTTGGAGTTGGTAGATTCATCAATAGGTCATTCATATAACGCAAATGAAGTTTTCAGATGTATAAAAGTTGGACTTCTGTGTGTGCAAGAGCATGCAGAAGATAGGCCGATAATGTCTTCTGTAGTTTTAATGCTCAGTAGTGAAACTGCAACACTGCCACAGCCAAAAGAGCCTGGTTTCTGTTTGGGAAGAAATTTCAATGAAACGGATTCATCTTCAGGTAAACAGGAGCCATATAGTGTGAACCAAGTGACGGTTACACTGTTGGAAGCTCGGTAGTGGAGATGAAAAAACATGGTTTCTGTATGTGTACTTCAAAAACATGTAAATTGCTGTTGTTCTTCATGCCATTTTCTAATTTTCTATTATTAGTGGAGATGAAAATAGGATGGTATCTCCGGTTGTATATTTTCTTTTGTTGGGCATTTCACTTTCAATGGTGTCTTAACTTTGATCCTCACAGGGGTTCAATAGCATAGCATCGTTATCTTTCTAGGCTTCATGTCAAGGAGATGCTCTTATTCACCCAGTACAACATGTCAACCCCAGATGCTCTTATTCACATGGTTTTCCAACCATCGTTGACCTGGATGGTAGGACTATTCGGCCTAGAAACTGTCTAGGCAATCGGTTCCATTTCACCCTTAACCCGTATCTTGGCAAAAAACTGTTGATTTGATTGATGACCCACAGGCAGTTGAATCATTGACCTGTTCAACCCTGACAACTGTTTCGGCCATTTTTTATTTTTAAATTGGAAGAGGCCATCTGTTCTACCGCTGACCCAATACCAATAGTGGTTCTGAGTTGGTTTTTAAAACATCAATTAAACAAAATGACTTTCAGTCAATGACCACATTATTGGGTTATAACAATCAGGAAGGCCCCATTTGGGATGGATGGCGTATAAATTTGACGTGAGTTGTATAAATTATGGTTTTCAAACCGTTATTGACCCAGATAGTTGGACCATTTAGCCCGGAATCCATGTAGGCAACCATTTCCATTTCACCCTTAACTTTGTCTTGGCCAAAAACCGTTGACTTGGTCAACAACCCACTGACCCAAGTGGTTGAATTGTTGACCTCTTTGACCCAAACAACAATTTTGGCCATTTTTTATTTTTTAAATTGGAATGGGCCATCTGTTCGAACCGGATGCTCAAACCATTGACCCGGCTAGTGGCCAAAGCAATTCTGGTTTGAGTCAGTTTTTAAAACATTGGCATTAATTTTGCCATAGTGGTTGAATACCCATGTTCTAGATAAGCTATTTGGAGTAGTTTCATGTATTATAGTTGTATCTTTTGAGTTTAGATTGCCAATATTGGCTTCCCGGATTTTTACCAAACATAGTGTTTGTGGGTGCTATGTGAGATCCATCTTTGAACACTAGAAGCCACATCCCAAAATCCCTTCGAAATAGGCACAAAGCACCTCACCCTCAACGGGCTCAAACCAGTAGAATCTGTTAGATTTTTTATTGGCAGCCAAGAGGTCCCACCTAGGAGTGTCAATGGACCCCCTTTCAACTAATGTTATGCATCTTTATTCTTCTTAAATATAAAAGTTTTTTTATTAAAAATAAAGAAAAAATGAGATCCCCTTTCCTCTTCATCCTCTTCCCCTTCCTCCTCCTAACCCCCTCCTCTTAAGGAGGCTTACATTTGGGAGGCTTAAGCCTCTTGCTTTCTGAACTACGCCTCGTGCCTCTAGGTAGTGGAACACCTCGTGTCATGCCTCCAAGTTTTAAAACATTGATTTACACTTTTGAAGCATGCTTGGGGTTTTGTTCTCAAATATCTTATGATTGTCATTTCACTAAATAGTCTTAAAACTAGCTTTTCCATTTATTGTTGAAGGCATGTAAGTTCTTTTAGTTTCCAATCAAGTAACAAAATCCTCTTGGTTGGATGATGTTGGGATCATATATTCTCACCTCAATTCTCCCTTATTGGGTAATTTGTCCATCGTTTGCTCCCTCCATATGATGTAGGTTAAGAGGGTGGATGCTGCAAAGAAGGATGCTAATCCAACTTTGTTAGAGTCAGACCAGAGACAAAACCAAGTTCACTTGGTCATGCTTTATTAACCCATGAGACCCTGAAAGCTTACTGATCACCAGTTCAACCATCTGATCAATCTAGTCTGGTTCTAACAACACTGTTATAATCCTGGCAATATTTTGGCCAACTTAATTTCAATCATCCCTTTCCATGTGGAGTACGACTCCAAAATGGAGGCAATGAAAACCAAGCCTTAGCTTGTGGGGCTGAGAGGAAGGGGGTAGACCAAACCTAGCTAACCGGCCTTCTACGAATGGTATCATTTTTCTTAGTGAAAAGGCTATTTTGTTAACCTCCCCATATCATATCATAAGGATGGGTTGAATTTGAAATGGTCCAATTTGAATCCAAAACATGATCAAAGGTTGAGGACAGCATATGACATCAAAACCATTGAACTGAAATTCAATCAAAGAACTGATGTCATTATATAAAAATTTTTATAATTAAATGTATGAATGCTATGGTCGTTCCACAAATGAGGAGAATTAGTAAGTCTATAATACTTGGTGCCCATTTGAGAGGGTTTTCATATAGAGGCGTCTAGGCTTGCATGAGCTAAGAAACCTAGAAAGCCAATAAACTTCAATTGATGAAAATCGGGAAAGTTGAAAAATGGCTTGAAAGAGCCATAAAATTGACTTTCTGAAGAAGTTAATTACAATAAGTAGCTTCTTGGAAGCAACTCTACCAACGCAGCTCAATCACTGCACAAGCCCTCCCAAATAGACTATTGGCTTCGAAAGTCCCTCAAGTCATGAGCATGATGAGAAACATGAGATGCAGCATGGGCATGAGGCTTTGGTCTTATACAGGTTCACCAAAGATGAAACCTCCCAATCTGTTGCCAAGAATGGCTGCCTGGACAATTGGCTATAGCGCATCTTATTATTGTTCGAGTCATTTCTCTCATGATGTAGCCCCTTCTAATAACCTTTTTTTTTTTTAAAAAAAAGGCAGCTTCAACACATTCATTAATAGCTAAACATTACATGAGAGTTCTTGCTAGCTAGAGTTGTAATTAGATATTACTCTAGCTTTACAGGCTGTATAAGCTAAGACATAAGTTGTCTGGTTGTGGTGTCTATTTACAAAATAAAAAAATATTTGATTGAAATTCCTTAACAATGCATTGATCCTCGATTGGTGCAGGCACTCTATCCACTTATTTGTAGCAATAACTTGATTCTACATGAACAATGACAATTGCTTACAGTTACTATATAAAATAAGCCTATCCATTTTTTTTATCAATAACAAGATGCTTTATTAAATAATAGAATTTGTGAAACTTTAAGTACAAGAAAGGGGAGGTAAGCTATCTTAACTCCTCCACAACAAGGAACAAAGAAGAAAGCTAAATTGCCCAAAATATAGATTCCTTAAGCACCCCTTGCTTGACTAACCCATCATCCGTTGAGTTAGTGCGTCTCTTCACCCAATTGTACTTCACCTCAATATTCCTACTCAGCAATTTTAATTTTTTCTTTTCATTTTTGTAGCTCCACAATCCATTGTTGTCTTCCTTCAGCCACCTAATCACCACCTCTGCATCTCCTTCAATGACCAAGCATCAAATTTTTAATTCTCTTGCTCTTTGGATTCCTTCTAGAACTGCTAGAACCTCAGCCCTAAGAGAGTCGCCCTCTCCAATTGGGCCTGAGAAAATAACATTAATAATCCCACCCTCATTCCTGAACACTCCCCCAATCTCAGAAGGCATAGGATTCCTTAAGCTAATACCATCAAAATTCAATTTTATGAATCCTGAAGGGGGGGGGGGGGACCAAGAAGGTCTAGAGGTTCTCTTACATTGGGCCGAGGTAGCTATTTCTTTCCACTTTCTCAATATGTCAGCCATGGAAAAATCTAAGAATAGCTCTATAGATTTCAGCCAGTGAGCTACCCTTAAGTGTATCAATTCAATTAAGTTCTCCATGGTTCTTTCCTTGTTTGAAAAAAGTCATGAGTTTCTCTCTTCCCATATGGACCAACACACTACCGCCTAATGCTTCTCCACATGACGTTCCCTCTTTTCTTAGGCCATCTTGAGAACGAAGGAGAAAACAAACTTTGCACACTTACAGGGGGATTCCAAGTACATCCAAAAAGGGAAAAAATCCTCTCCCAAATAGTTTTAGTAACCAAACAAGTAACCATAAGGTGGTAACCCGTTTCTCCATCAACTTTGCAAAGAACACACCTATTATGAAGTAAACAATAATTGGGTCTCTTTCTATGAAGCAAGTCATTTGTGTTTATTCTTTCCAAGAAAGTTTCCCAACAAAAACTACCAACCTGAGGAGGAATGGATTTGTTACAAATCTCTTTAATAGGGAAAGGACAACCCAAACGGAGCAGGAGGTTGGAGTAAAGTCTCAAAAAATGACGTACAAGAAAAGGACCCAGAGGAGGAGGGGGTCCAAATTCTGGAGTCATCCTTACTCAAGTCCAAGAAAACATTTTTAAAGATGGCTAGCAAAGATGAAATGCAACCCATGTCTGTATCCCTAATTGTTCTTCTCAACCCTAGATTCCACCAAAAGTTGGAAGTAGAATCAGAAAGAACTAAGAAAGAAGAAATAGGTTCATTTTTCAAATTTGACAAAGCATACAAAGAGGGAAATTGGTCCATCAGAGGGAAATTGGTCCAAAGTTTTGTAAGATTACTAGAGTTTAAATCATACCTTATCCAAGGGGAGAAAACCAGAAGCAAATCATGAATGGTTTTCTAAGGGGAAGCATCTATAGCCCTTGCTAAGATTTCTGGATCCCAGTCATTGTCTTCCAGCCCATGTATGCTAGCCACTATCTTCTTCCATAATTTGTCCCTTTCCATTGGAAACCTCTATAACCATTTCCCCAACAATGCCATATTTCTTTTTCTGATATTCCCAATCTCAAGCCCTCCTAGCTTCTTACTTCTAGTTACCACCTCCCAACTCACCCTGTGATCTTTCTTCTCTTTTCTTAGTTCACACAAGAAATCCTTCATTAACTTTTCCACCCTATTTGAGACCTTTGTGGGAATCTTAAACACCGATAGAAAGTAAATAGGAATGTTAGATAGGGTAGACCTAATCAAAGTGATTTTTCACCCTAGTGAGAGATAACTTTTCCTCCAAGAAGCAAGCATTTTTTCAAATCTTTCCAATACCGGGTTCCAAAAGTTGTCCTTCATGGGATTATTTCCTAAGGGGAGGCCTAAGTAAGT